GATAATATTGGTTCACATTATATCTTGCACAGTGAATTCTGACATGAAGTTTTCTGTCTTGGGCTTTTTATACGCTTGTAATTCTACCTTGTTGAAGTTGAATGTGCCAGGGTTTAGTTTGACTTGGTACACTGTTTTTGTAATTAACTTTGCTATTTCATCCTCGACTACCAGGTATGACCCTTCTACAGGTATTTATGGCATGGACTTCTATGTTGTTTTGGAACGTCCTGGATACCGTGTTGGCCGTCGTCGTAGGTGCAAGAGTCGTGTTGGAATTCACCAGAGAGTTACAAAGGACGACGCAATGAAGTGGTTCCAAATCAAATATGAAGGGGTCATACTTAACAAGTCCCAAAATATTGGATCCTAGTTCTTTTCCCTTGGTTGAGTTAAAAGTTTTTACTAGTTACATTTGGCAGGATTGTGCATCTGAATTTAAAATTTTGTTGATGAGATTTTTTAATTGGTAGCGTCTGTTACACCTTACTTGGTTTTCTTGCTTGCCCTACTTGATTTTCTTGCTCGCATTTATGCTCACTGGAGTAGATTGTGCAAATTCTTTTCCTGAACCATGGTTTGTTATTTGAGCTGGGCTTGCATTATTGTTGTTTATGCATACTGGGCTGCATGATCATGAGTTCATAATTTTAAAGGGTGAAATTGCAGATGCTGGTCAACAGTTGAAGCTGGATGCTCTCATTCAATGAAAAACGGTTTGCAGTGTATTGAACTGCTATGACCTCTTAAAGGGTGTTAGTGATGCGTGTAGGAATAACACAATATAATGGCTGGCTGATTCAAGTAAGCATCACTAGTTTACAGTGACTTTTTACTCTTAGGTTTATTTTAGTTTAATTATTTCATATTTTGTTAAGTTAGAACTCTATAATTTGTTTTGTGTTCTTTCCTTTCGTGTTTTTGTGGTCTCAAAAGAAAGTCTTGAGATTGAGTTGGTTCATGATTAATTTGGTTTGATTGATAGCATTGGTTATAAATGAGAGGATCAAAATTGAAAGTTGTGTGAAACGGCAATCATTTAAATAAAAGATGAATTATTTTGTCCATGGAAGCTTTTTCTTCTTTGAAATTTATCCTTTTGGGTTGATGATTCAACTTTATGATTTGGCTTGTGTTATTTTCTTTTAAGTTAACTGCAGTCTCAGAAAAATCAATATCCCAGCATTGGTTGTGATGGTTTTTTATTTTTCAAAAATGAATTTAATTTTGTTGAAGAGAAAAATTAAACATAAAGGGACCAAAATTAAAAGTTTGGTGAAATGGTAGCCTTTAAAAAAATGATATGTTTGGGACGAACATACTAGCTTGGTGAAATGGTAGCCGCTTCTCTCATTTTCTCTCGCGTTTAACCTCTTATGAAATCCTTCTTTTGAGTTTTTACAACTGAGCTCCCCACCTTCTCCTATTACTCTCTAGTCTTCCATATATGTAAAGAGTATTTTCAGTTTTTCTGGTTTTTAATGCTAAAAAACTAACTTGAATTGCATAAAATTAGTTTGGTTTAAACTGATTTTCTATTCAGTTTGGGTTATATTAATAAGAAATATTATTTTCTGGTTCGGTTAAATTGTTTAGTTATGATCAGACCTAACTGGACCGTTAACATCATTTATTAAGGTTGGAAGAGTGTTTTCGGGTGTAAAAATTGGGTTTTGCGGTAAAATATAAAATAGCCTAATTTTCCAGCTAAATTCTAGGCAACAATGTTGCATTATCTGCTTTTATATATATATATCCATCTATTATAAAAAAATAATAATAAAAAATATCATATCATGTTCAATCACACACACCTAGACTCATTTTTAAAGGCCCACGTACTTGGTTTTATGTCATAGGTTTTTCCTTTTTTATGTTTTTATAAATTAAATAATTTAGATAATATATATTTCTTTTAAATTCTTAGATATATTATTATTGTTTTGTAGATAATATTTTATTATGTTTCATTTAGTTTTTACTAAGACAACAATTGTGTTTTTTTTTACCAAAACCTATTATAATTTAATTTTTTATTTAATTTGGTTATTTTTTGTGATCGCTGATTTTTTATTATATGATTAAATAAAATATAATATCATAAAAATAAACTTATTGAACTAAGTCAGGTTCATGATTAGGTTATAAACTTATTAAACTTAGTCGGGTTCATAATTAGATTATAAGTTTGTGGGGTCGACTTCACCAAATCAATATATCATTATCTTAATATTAAAAAAAATGTCATTTGAATTTTTTAAATCAAGTCATGTTTTAACTAATTTTGTTTATTTGTTTTTAAACTCCTCAAGTTATTAACTAAAGATTTGGAAGATTACACTTGGATTAAATTAAAGTTTTTTTTAAAAAAAATATTTGAATGGAAAAGGAGGATTTTAGTTAAAGTTCTTATTTTATATATCTTGATTTTTTTTCACATCTTCTAGATGCCTTTTGTTTTTATTAAATGAAATATAAAGAAAAAAATCTTACAATTTTTTAAAGAAATATAGATATTAATAAGAAAAAGAAGAGTTTTGCTAGGAAATTATTTGGTTTCAATTAAATTTAAATTATTTTTATTCTTATAAAAAAAACATTAGTGCCACATAATTAAGATAACAAAATTAAATGGTTTATCGCAACACATGATGATATATATTTAGAAGTGCATGTTTCTCAACTTCATGACATGACATTAAAAAAATTTAGCATTTATTCATTATTGACCCTCCTTCTATATTGTTAAATATATGTATTAAATTTTAAGTTAACAATTATGATTTTTCTATCTATTTATTAACAATATTTATCAAGATTAAAAGAGTTTTTCTACAAGGTTTTTTTTTAATGTTTTTAAATGAAATTAGGGATTCATCTTAGTAGGGGGTTAGTTTATTAAGGTTGTAAGAGTGTTTGTGGGTGTTTTTAGGTCGAATAGATTAAAAATTAGGGTTTTTTTTGTAAAATATTAAATAACCTAATTTTCCAACTAACTCTATAGTTGGAGGATAGATTTTGGATAGCAAGTAATGCGTCATCTCCTATTTTTTTTTATCAAAAAATAAAGTCATCTACCCATTTTAAAAGGGCAAAATGTATTATGTAAAAGACCAAGCATGCTCATGCATCTAGGTTTATTTTTAAAGTTATATGTGTTAGGGTTGTTTTTTTATTTTTATTTTATTTTTTTATAAATTAAATAATTTAAAATAATATATATGTATATAGTTTCTTTTAATTTCTAAGACTTGTTCGTAATGTTTTTTAGATATTATTTTATTAAATTCCATTTAATTTTTACTTTTGTTCGAGAACAATTGTTTCTTTTACAATCCATCATAATAAATTTTATTTATTTATTTGATTGCTTTGTTATGGTCACTGGTTTTATACTATATAACTAAATAAAATAAATTTCAAATTTTTTTTTTATTAAACTCAATCGGGTTTGTGACCTGGGTCACAAGTCAATTAAGTTAATCTAAGTTAAATTAATGTATTGTCATCTTAATATTAATAAAATAAATGTTGTCTTGAATTTTTTTAAATCAAGTCATATTTATACCAATATTTTAGGTTTGCATTAAACTTATCAAATTAACCGAATCATATTATGTTAATTTCTAAGTAGTTTAATTTGAAATCCGATCTAGATATGGATTCAAGTCGGAAGTTTTCAAGGATGACCACTTGAATCGAGTTAAAGTTTTTTTTAAAAAAAAAACAATTTAAAGAGGAAAAGGATTCTAATTAGAGAAGTATCTTTGTTATTCTTATATTAAATTGTCCTAATTTGTTTTTTCTTTCATGTCTTTTAGATGCATGTTTTTATTAGATAAAAAACAAAAAAAACAATTATTATATTTTTTAAAATTAAATATATTAATAAGTAAAGAAAGATTTTTGCTAGCAATTTATTTAGTTTCAATTAAATTTAAATTATTGTTCTTTTTATAAAAAAAAATTAGTACCATGTAATTAAGTTAACAAATTAAATAGATTCATGCAGCGTATGATTATATATCTTTATGATTATATATCTTTAGAAGTTCTTGTTTCTCAACTTCATAACATGCTTCTTTTTTTTTAGCATTAAGATCTTTTTTTATCATTTATTTATTATTGATTCATATAATCCTCCTTTTATTTTATTAAACATATATATCAAGCTTTAAATTAATAATTATGATTTTTCTAACTACTTGAAAATACATTAATAATATTTAAATATATTTTTTATATTACAAAAAATTCATCTCACCTACGGGTTTTGTTTTGGAAGCTAATTATCTAGTTTGTTATCTAAGACATGTTTGGTATTTCCTTTCTTCCTAGAAACATGAACAATGTATCCCTCTAGCTCAAACTTCCAAGATGAAATTTAGAAGTTCAACCTCTTAAGCCTCTCTTTTTAGCCAAAAACAAGTTATTTCCTGGTCTAATATATCGATTTAACAAGCTTTAGGCCGAGCAAGAAAGTTTATTATTTAATTATCGAGGTGGTGATTAAATGGTAAAAACTTGACATCAAGAAGTTTGTTTACTTTATGATTTCAGGTTCGAGTCCTTGATTGCTCATATAATGGTCACTAG